GTACGGTACAGCAGAATAAATAAGTAAATAAGTAAATAAATAAATATTACAGAATGTAATACTAGTTATTACATTTTGGGGCTTGCTTCTAAACAGGCACATATTATCAAACAAACTCTTAATTTAAAACAAACCTGGGTAGTTGCCTCAATAAATCTGAAATTACAGCATGTAACATACTTAAATCCAAGTTACCCCATTAACAGCAACAAAAGGCACCAGTAGGGTCCATGACCCACGTCTGCCTTTCTTCCTGTTCCGCTCAGGAAGCAGTTCATGACTCATCCAAGACTGAGGTTTATGGGGTTTTTTTAATTCTTAGTTATTTTTAAGGTACCTAAAAAGTAGGGCGCTCTGACTCAATTTCAATGCTGTGCAATAAAAGATACTGTATCAATAAACGGCACAGGAACAAAAATAAAAGCATGTAATATAAGCCACTGTAAGAATAATGTATATACTTAACATGGAAAACTAAAAATGACTGGGAGAAGGAAGAGGAAAAGCAAGAATATAAGCCTCAAGCATGCCTTCCTCTGGCTTTTATGTATTCGAACACTTCCCCATAACCAGATGCATGTGCCAAGTCGGTCCCCGGCTTAACATTTTCCATCCCAAGGGCTCAGAATCCTTAGTTCCATGAAGTGAAAAGCCTTACCTTATATGGGATAGCGTCCTAGTTTCATCCAGCTGATATTATCTTCACCTAAAGGATAAGAATTAAAGTTAGTAGGGGAATATAGACTGGAATATTTCTGAAAACAAAATTAAGTTTAAACATAAGTGCCACTTATAAACTGGTAAAATTGAGGGGTTTTATACAAAAGCTGCTAATAGTAATTGGGAGGTAGCAAGGGGCACGAGGAGGAGATGAATACTTTATTTCAAAGAGTGAAACACAGGATAGTGAACAAATGCAACTACTCTTAAAGACTTGACCCTGAACTGCCCCTCGAACAGATGCTACCTAATCAGAAGGACAGTTGCAGCCAGAGGTACGCTGCCCCTTAGGTGCAGGTGCAAAGCCGTTGCGTCCAGCTACTTGACTGCCTCTTTGAATTGCTGCCATGCACCCCCCTACCGCCCCATAAAGCAAATAATCCTTTCAGGTAATTGAAGGACAATCCAAAGCTTTCTGAATCTTTACAATACAGAGAAAGAATTTGCTTGCTAAACTGTCTACTACAAATTTCCCCCCTGCAGTTGTCCCTAACCATTTTTCAAATGTTCTTATTAAGGGCGTAAAGTGAAAGGTCAGCCTTTCCACCTGCAACTAACTCTTAATGGCCCTTAAAATGTAAGAAACACTTCCAAGCCAGCCAATGTGCCAGTCTCAAGACCACATATTGATTTAATACTTTTGCAAAACAAAAGGAACACATTTTAGGATGTAGGAATACAAATTATATTATTTTCCCTAGCTGTTTGTCTGCAGCCATCCTTTCCCACATTTCATTGTACTAACGTTCAGTACTGAAGTTTTCTGAGGGGGGATTGGTATACACCATCATTGGGCTTCCACAACACTTGCTAATGGAACAAACAAAATGGGAGACGCCTCCCTCTTCTCCTCCTCCCCCAGTCCCCCGTTCTTGCAGCATTTGCTTAAGCCCAGCAAGTAGCATAAAGACAGATCTGCAACTGACCTGTTGATTCCAACCTTGCTAGCTGTGATGGTGGAAAACAACCAATGGTCCAAACAAACCTAAAAAAGCACAATCTCTTCATGTTGGGCTCCAATTTTAGAAGTTACCACAGGCCTTCCTGATCAGCCGCTTGAAGTTATTTGCAGAGTTTCAGCCCCCTGGTTGCTTAGGTGTCTCCTAGTCTTGGGGGAGAGCTTCAGCCAATAGAAGCTTTGCATACTCACTGTAACAAAGCCTCCCCCCCAATAATGTTAGGAAGTGCTTCTGTCCTCACAGCACTAGTAACCGGAACTGAGAGCCTAGCAAAGTACGCATAATGTATTCTGGCACCACACTTCTGAGCTCTGAAGTCAGTTTTTGCAAGTAATGGGGGGGAAATCATAGACCAGAATGAAAGCTTAACATGGAATACAATGCAAGCACTTGTTATTTCTTATGCCACTTACACGCTTAGAGATGTTTTGAACAAAGAGTCATTGCCTTTAAGGAATACTGAATGTATTTCTGTTTATCACTGCAGTTAATCAAGTACACAAGAAACTGGAGTCCAATTCACCTGGTAACTAAATTCACTTATGTCAAGAGAAACCCTGATATAATCCCCACACTTCAATTAAACCATTGGCATATTGGTCAAAACTGAGTACAGCTACTATGGTTGAATATATTTGCAACCCAGTTACACAGCAAACATACTGCTTATTTACTGAGTTCATAATGGAATTATTATACTACTTGGAACATCCAGCTGGATTTAAATATAACTAGTCATACAATGAACATGCTTTCATAGGATTTAAAGTACACCCTTTTCCTCTGAATACATATACTATTTATACTGACAAGGATTTAAAAAACACTCTTCTCTTGCAAACCATTCAGGTACAAAAGACCGGGGACTCCAGTCCATTACTCGGCTGTTAAGATTCACTGCTGAATCCTGTTTGTGAATCAGCCTTTATTCTTGAAACACACTGAAACATGAGATTTGACAGAACTACACTTCAGTCTTAAATTGAGCATTGTTGTATCTTATGAATTGGTCAAGAGCCAAATCTTATGAAATGCTTTCAACAGGTAATATAGACCTAGCTAGCACAACCAAGCCAACAGTCCTGGAGGGCAACATGTGTTAGATATGTAACCCTACTGTGTTTTTTCATCAACAAGCAAGCAAAGTAAGCTACACTTTTTGGTAAGATGCATGGATTATAGTAAGGGGAGCTCTCAATTGTTCAGTATCATTTAAGTATCACAGCCATCATCCCACAGCCAGCCACCCATGTTACATAACTTTGCACTAAAATTACAAAATACTATTTACTCCCCAGCTCAACTTAACAGACGTTAAGTTAACAACGTTATTATAAAGGGCAAAATACCAATGCATTTATCTGCCTGACCATGAAAGAGGTTTCATACAACTTTTAACATGTAGCTGGTATGAACTGAAAGCAGCCATTCCTGCACACAATGAAAGACCCTGAGCAGCAAAATATGCATTCAAGTTGAACTTACTTTCCCCTCCCACTGAGGTCTAAGAATGTCTTTGTCACACAGTGAAGACAGAAACAAGTCATATGCACGAAGAAATCACGGGTCTGAGGCACAGATGTCAGCATCACAGTCAGCTTGCCTAATGCTGATTGCAGGTTAGGCCTCAAAACTAAGCACCGTACGGTAGGAGAAGTGCTGCACTGAAATCCCACCATCAGGAGTGTGATGCCAGAATACCCCCATAGCAAGATTACACAGAAAGTCACCAAGTTAGATTATAGTTCTTTTTACCTACCTGTATGCAGGCGACAATGAGAATCTTGGAGCAAGCAGGAATACTACATCCAGGTCCTAATGTCCATTGCCACTTGTGGTACTACGTTCCTCACAGTTATGCACTGCGGAAATGCTGTCTAAGTGCTGTTACATAGCAGGCCACTACTTTTAAACAGTGTCATATTGCAGTCTCAAACTCCAGAGAAAAGCATGCTGCCACAAGTGGTTGCCAAGGAGATGCCAAGAACTTTTTAAAAACAAATATACCACAAAATACGCACAGAAACAGAAATTCATTTATTACAACTAACAAGGATGTGGTTATAGCATGCTATGATTGTTAAACATGGGTAGACCCTTGAATTGGGATAACTTATGCATGACCTAAAGGCTTAATGGCGCGCAGAAGTGGAATAGTCACGCTTCTGCTCAAAAGGCATCTGTAAGTCTAAACAAATATTTAAATCCATTTAGAAAAAGCTAAAAAGATGGAACATTCAATTCAGTGAAAACTCCCACACAATTGGTTTGCTACTAAGGGACCATCCTGCTTGTTATCCTTTGGAAGTCAGACTATTGTGTAGATTTTTATATAAGCACGTTTGACAACAGTACTTGTCTAGTAAAGTGCAAGAATCTACTGCGGCCCCTCACTATTTCCTTCCATTTTTAACATCAGCCTAGTTTTAGACAAAGTGAAAACAAGAGATGAACCTTAGGAAGGAAATGGGACCATCAGCTTCCTTCACTCTTCCAAGATTACAGTACTACAAAAGAACATGGTTTAGGATATGTGCCAGCATCCTAAGGAAAAATGGCATGTAATCTGAAAAATAAACTGAAAATTAGTTTCCATTTCCGGAGGCCCCACCACTGTCAATCTCGGAAGTTCCTACAGCAGGTGTCCAAAAACACCCCCTTGAGAAATGCAAAACTGAGCTCTACACAGCCCAGGACACATTAACTTCCACATTTGTATCACAAGGGCTTCTCTACATCAGCAGTCAATGCAAGAACTGTAGGTTCTTTTCTTCCCCCTTTGATGTTAACTTCTTGAAGCTTCTGGGGATATAGCTCAATTCAACCACAACACTAAATGAGAGGCAGTCCAGCAACCTTGAGTATCAGCTGTTTACCATTCTTGGGTTTTCAAAAGGCTTGCTCAGCACAAGCTTTCGAGCAAATCCATTGGCAGAATCAAAATACGTAATAACTGATGGCAGTGAAGTTTCATATGCTGCAGTTATACAGAGTTTACAGGTAACGGATTCCTCAGCTTTAACACATTTAAAGTAGGGATGGGGAACCATGTGTGGCATTCTGGTTAACCTCAAGCTACTGGAGGTAGCACAGAGAAAGTATCAGTGGCTGAGAGAGGAAAAAACAGCCAAAACAGGTTACCTGCAAGCGATCAGTGCCAACTGGCCAAAAGCTATCTGCCCCTCCATCAACAACCTTCTGGGCAAAAAGGGAAAGTAAATGCACCACCACCCAGAGAATGTAACTTGTTTTAAACAGATATAAAATGGTTCCCATTAGGGGGGAAAAAAAGGTTCCCCACCCATATTTAAAGGATTTAAAGCACCCAAAATTATTGAATGAAAAACCAACAGGATTGATCACAGAATGGTCTGTGATCTGATCTGGTTCATCTTCATTTTATCAAGCCACTGTACCTTTTATATACCAGGAAACTGTGCACCCAGTATTCTAGGTACCATCAGGGTATAGAGTCCAAGACAGCTTGACTTCTTATAGTGTTTTAATAAATATGATTCAACTCTACCAAGTCAACACCACAAGTTGATACTATGTAGCCCAAGGAAAAACTTTCCATTTTTAATGGTACTGTATTTAGATTTCTACATGTCAGGCTTTAATCCAGTGTTTCTCAACCTCAGCAACTTGAAGCTGTGTGGACTTCAACCCCCAAAAGGCTGGCTGGGGGAATCCTGGGAATTGAAGTCCACACAGCTTCAAGTTGCTGAGGTTGAGAAACACTGCTTCAATCTAACAAATTACTGCACTGTAGGATACTACTTTAATCCTGAAGCTTCAAAGGATACTTTCATTTCTGCAGTTAAGTGCTGAAGTTTTGATATTAAATATAATACACAAGTGCCCACCAATGCTCAAAGCTTTGGGATCAAGATACTGGTTAAATCAAGAAACAATTTGATTCCCTCCAATGTTTGGATTGCAACTTCCATAAACCTCAATAGATATATTCAATCATCAAGGATTCTGTTAACATAAAACATCCGGTGGGCACTAAATTGCTTAACTCTAGCAAAAGAATTAGACGTGAAATAGATCAACCAGATCTCATATTTGAGTCGTTATTAGAAGAATGAGACACGGAATAATATGTACAAGTCATGCTATGACTTACAGCAGCTGGAATAAAAAGGCCTTTTGGAGAGACAACAGCTAATGCTATTAGATTACCTGCCCTTACCCATTCCCATCTCCCACCTCCTTACTCAAAACTGAACTACATCATTAATTCTGTTATTTCACCAAAACCCAGTTTGCTTCCTTACTGCAAGGACATTAAAATTCCACATACGTAAACTTGAATAATTATACTGAAAGTTTCACAGAACACTAAAAGCTTATTCTAAGGGTGAGACTTCATTGTGATATTACTTCAATACTGAAGTTCAATTAGGATTTTGAAATTGCATATTGATATTTTAGACTTTATGGCATGGCAGCATCTAAGCCTTATGTACTGTGCAACACTTCAGATTTCATTTCAAGAAATGCATTGCCTTTTGGAAGGGTTATTTGCCCTCTATGCTCAGACGTTTACGATAAAAGAATCTTGCTACATTTAGTCTATTTATTTTAAGCACAGTAAAAAAAGTTTACACTTGGGAATTCAAATGGCACACGGTACATTGCCATCAAGGTAGGGACGTTATACATCAAGAAAGCTAAGTTTAGAACACTGCATTACATAATTAGACTTTTTTTTTTGCCCAGACCACTTACAAATTCTAGGTCATTTTAAGTTTCTAACATCCATAAAAACGTAGCTTTCTTACTAAAATGCAAGAATTAAAAAAAAAAGTAGTGTCTAAACAAGACAAATAAAACAAACTGGAATGAAAAATCTACAAGTCACATCTAAAATCGGGGCTTTTTGTTTGGGCCTTCATATTCTTCTCTCCCTCTCCCATAGGCTGCAGGAGTTCCAGGCCCCATTCCTCTAGGGCCCTGGCCACCTACAGGCCCCGCACCTCCCTGTCCAAATCGCTCAGGGCGCTATTAGAACAATTAAGAGTTCATTATGTGTAGTTGATGTCCATGTGTGTTAAGAATTTATTTTAGAAGGTTCCGCAGTCAACGTTCGTCGATACAATCACCATTGAGTCGATCCACAGGTACCGGGAACATAGAAAGGAAAAAAGGGTAATTTAATAATTAGTTTAACTTAATACATGTCTTGAGGTATGTTCCCAACTTGATCCATTCTCAAATGTCTGTTTCAGCAAACAGATTTTCCCTGAAGTGCTAAAAATGCAAGCATTAGTATGGGTCTGAACCAAGAATTCTCTCTGAAAGGAATTCTGGTTATCTGCTACAATTAATTGCTAATCTGTAGTATCAGTGAACAAGGCACAAAGAGCTTCCTAAAGCATCAGCCATTTTGTATAAAAGCAGATGCCTAGTTAAAAGGTGCAAGACCATGTCCTTGAAATTACTTAGACTAATGTCTATTTAAATTATGTTTTTCAAAAGCCGCTAAAATCCTATGAAAGTACAAGAAGTATTATGCACCTGATAAAATTGCCCAGCCGAGACAAGAAAACTACTAAATGTTTGCACAATGTTGAGCTTCTTTAAATAGCTCCACTACAATAGAGGCCCTATGGCTTCAGTATGAGGATTAGCAAAGAGTCCATTATTACTTTGCAGTATCTAAATGCATTCAAGCTGGTCTCCTCTGAATCCACAAAAGCTCAACCAGGCTGCAATAAAGCAGACCAGTTAACTTGTCAATTTACCTGATCTTTCTTCATTTCTTGATTTACCAGGCACAAAGGAGGGTGTAATGAATCAAAGATGCTGATGTTGGTATTATTGGTGCTGTTAGGGCAGCATAGGAACTAGATTTATACAAAAAAAAGCTTTCAAATGCACTCAAGCTTAACAACAGAGCCAATTCACTCAGTATAATTCCTCAGACTAGCTGTATGAATCCTTTAACCAGATACGCATGCAGATGTGCTTTGTGAAAGGCTCACACTCAATTTGCTCCCCAATAACCCCACAAACAAAGCCTAGATTCCAGAATGCTACTGCCACAATCATCACAGATGAGAAAACATATGCATGAGCCCTTCACTGATTTGCATAAGTATCCAATCATGGAGTCACCAAGAGTCTGGAATTCTAGCATATAATCAAGACTCCATCAGATTTCCTCTAACAACTGGCTTACAGTTATTAGACTGCCAATTTAAACTCCCAAAGGCCAAGTGTCATGAATGAACAAATTCCATAAGGAGATAATTCTACTAAGCTTCTAAAGTTACGTACTTTAGAAAGACAGCACATTGCTTCACGCAAAGTACTGACCAGGCATTTTTTCTAGTGCCACCAATTACAAGTGAATGAGACGTTTAAGCACTTGATACACTACATTGTTAATTTTGAAAACACACATCCGGCTTTTACCAGACTACCTATTTCAACAGAAGTCTATGACTAATTGCAGACTCCTTTGAGCTATACGGTCAAACAGCCACAAGGCATCTTAAGAACCTGGGGTGGAATAAATGGTATTTGTTTCTAGGTTAAGTGACACATGAGCTACAAGTAGCCCACCTCATGTAGCAAAACCTTCAGTACAAGAGTAGCCTCCACCCTTACCCCCAACCCTATTTTATGTGTTAGATTAAACTCTTAAGGTGAATGTATACCACACAAGCAAGGATTAGACTTAGATTTCATTAATTCTATTTACCAGCTGTACTGCCCTTATATTACTCCAAGGCCAGAGATCAGGCTTCACGTATAGTGTGAATACAAGAATTTCTCTGAAGCCTACAAGTACAGGAACAGGAAGTAAAGTTCAAAGTGCTTGGAGAACAAGTGTACCATCTGCGGCTCCTAGTAACGGTACAAACCCTCAAGCATCAAAGGCAAGATACGCCTCTGAATACTGGTTGAAGGGTGACAACAGGAAAAAGCTACTGCTCATGGACATCCCCGAAGCATCTGGTTAACCACTTTGGGAATAAGATAGATCTTTAGTTTGATCCAGCAGCTCTGTCTATAGTCAGGAAACTTAAGCAGCACCTAAGCATGATAACCAAATTATGTATTATTTTAGAGTCAACAAGCAACTTGCTCAAGAAACAGATTGCTAATGACTTGCCTACCTAAAGAACTGCTTCTTTCCTCATCATCACATATTGTGTCAAAAGTCAATGTATACAATAGGGTACATTATTTGCATCTAAATACTCTGTGACTAATCCATTACATTAATAAGCAGTAGAAGTATAGTGCAATTATATTGTTTTTAGGCTTGGAAAAGTGTCTCCCTTTATTTTATACACGTTCATTTCTATGCACCACAGTTAACTCAAGTTCAGAAAGTGACAAAGACCACTTCTGCTCATTAAGCTAACTCAGGTAGATCGTTAGATTACAGAGCTAAAGGTTCCTTGCAAGCTTAGCCAGAGAACTCCCAACCCAACTGACCACAGAAAAGTCTAATATCCATTGCGTAAATATCTGGGCAGACCTGTCACCGTACTGGCAAAGACTAGACTCAGCTTTACGTTGCTCAACAAGCCTCTTGCTATCAGCAAACTGCTGGAAAGGGGAAGCTTAACTTGAAGTGTAGGTCATGTGGGATTAATGCAGAAATCTTTAGAACTGAAGTCAAGCTGCCACAGGATACATTACCATATCGCTTCCCATCATAGAGCCACTCATAGATGTTTGTCCGACTCCAGGACTGGTCTCATAGCCAAGGCCAGTACCACCTGCTAAAGGTGGGAATTTCTGAGCAGTTGTACCATAGGGATCTGTTTAAAAAAAAAAAATCAAGTGATTATGCATAGGACTGACCACAATAATTTATGCATGCAGGTTTAATTGGAAAGCTTTTTTACCTCCCATGTTCATTGCACTGGTACCACCCATTCTCATGTCTCTTTCTCTCTGCAAAGACAAAAAGATGTTTTAAACAACAAGTAAATCACTTAAAAGCTCTAACACAGACCTGGATTAGAAGCTGGGAGACCATGACTTCTAATCATGTTTTAAGACACAAAAGCCAGGAGGATGACCAGCTCCAGGAGGGCAGGTAGCAATCCTCTATGACCCAGATTTACATCATCAAAATTGGGAAAAGACTTATAAAAAAATATATAAAAATAAAACTTATTCCTAGGGATCAACATGAGATTCAGGCACCTGGACAACTAGATTACTGGGATTCTTCCAGCCCTGACTTACAGGGTCCATGTAACCCATTCTGGTGTAGCTTTCTTCCCTCTGTCTTCTCATTTGTTCTTCCATCTCACGTTGACGGATCATCATCTCTTCTTCCCGTCTACGCCGCTCTTCTTCTTGCCTGAAAATACAATTCCTCCATTATAATTTTTATTTTTAAAGACTTGAAAAGTGTACTAATTCATTTTACCACAAAATAATCATACCTCACTGAAGCTAAGTAAGCCTTCAAAGTAATTAAATACTGTAAATAAGCCCTCATGAATTACAAGGCTACCAAAAAAAAAAAAAGGCTCCTTGTCCTGGGAGAAGGCAAGGAGGAACAAAACCTGGCATTGATCCTCCATTAGTTCATTCACTTGGCTCCAAGCAATTTCTGGTTGCCCACAGATACAAACCTTGTACTTATATACAGGATTAAAAATGACAAGAGATGATCACAAGTTACCTCAATTGCATTTCTTTTCGTTTCTGCATCTCTTGATTGTGAAGTTCCTCCATGCGTCTCAATTCTTCTTGTCGCCTCATGAGATCTGTAAGTTTAACCATTTAAAGCAAACAATTGCTTAATAGATTATGAATTTCTATCAATTAAATAGAATCTAGACTTGACGCCATGTCTGAAATTAAGCTTACTTAAATACAAAAAAACCTAACTAAAATAAATTTGTACATAGACAACTTTGACTCCAAATTTTTTTAGTGAATGATCAATATACACAATGAACATTTAGCAGGCACATTACTGCTTAGGCCATCGTTGGGAGACAAATGCTTCTAGCTCGAACCTTTTCTGAAAATAGTAGCATAGGACTATAAGATAAAGACCAAACAAATAATAAAATATAACAATCTAAAAACAGCAAGTCTGTGTTTAAAAATATATTTGGGTAAAAGCAGTAACATTAAAATAGCAATAATGAAAACTTGAGAAAAGATGGGAGAAAGCAAGCAAAGTCTCAACCAGAGATCTGTGCCCTATACCTTGACGTAAAAGGTTTGCCTGATGCTCGTGATAAGCATCCTCCATCTCGCTTTCCAGTTTGTCCTTGGCATCTTTCATATTTTTCTCCACTTGATCTCTCTGCTGTTTCTCCATTTCATCCAAGGATTTCCACCGTTGAGAATATTCATACTCAAAACTTCCAGGCTGTGCAAATCGTGGAGGAGTTTCTCTCTCCCTAAAAATCCAATTGAAAATGAAATGCACATTTTGCAAAACAGCCAGCAGTGATGCTGGCAAAAATTTTGAAGCCTGGCAGTTTCAGATTAGGAGAGTCCTAGCAAATATCCTATAACATGGATACTTTTTTTTTCCATCTACAAAATGCTATTGTACTGGTCAGAAAATCAAGTACAGCAGAAGAAACAGTCGTCCAACCTTAAAACAGTTACAGAGGAAGAAGCATGAGCCTTTTTTGAATGGTACCATTCCATCAAAATAAACTTAATAAAATGAACACAATATGAGCCTGGCTGGAATTGACAAGTTTAACTTCCAGCTAAAGGGGCCACATGCTTCATCTCCTGCCAACAACATCCTACTTTTCAATTTCTCTTCCAAGTGGAGTATCCCAGGGCTACTGAGCATTTTCAATTTGCCAATTTTTTAGAAGACTGCAAATTATAAGATGCCCATGAATTCTGATATCACTATTGTTTCTCATCAGTCCAAATGTTTATTCCAGTCATCTTAATTTACAAAGTATGACATTGTTCTAGGCAAACTCAAAATCAAATTGCAATTAATTTTTTAAGTGAATATGCCAAAGTGTGTTAATATATAAAAGCTCTTGAAGCATGTACTTATTAGTGTGATAGGTTGCTTAAAAATATAGAGACCATAACAGAAATACAACACTGCATTTAAATTTTGAAAGAAAGCTCTGAATGTTTTAGATACATTTAAGCTACACTAACTTCACCAAATGAAACAATTCCATTTTATTCAAGTATTTCAGGTGATCTACTTTGCCTATTAGGAAAACTGTTCATAAACATACAGCAAAACTATTATTTGTTTAAAATACATACATACATTAAAACTATCTTAATTCAAGGCAATAGAAATTTTTCCAGATTTCTAATTTACATTACTGAAAACAGAAATGAGTCAAATTACAATATAGCAGGAAATCTATAACAATATTAACTGAGAGAGACCACCACAGATTTCAACATATCAAATACAGTTTAGTTGTAGTGACAATCCTGCATGGTTACATCTGCTTACTTTTGATACATTGGATTTTTCTGAGCCAGCTTTTCTGGAAGACCATCTTCATCATCTAGCTGTTCAAGTGGCTCCACAATAACTGGCCTAGGAGTGCTGAAAATCAGAGAGAAAGTGTTAAATTTGGTTTAGATATTGGCCTTTAAGTTTAGCTTTTATAGTTAAACTGCCTTCAGCTTACTAAACTACATAAAAAAGTGAGACCTACTTACGTTGTCAGAAGAAAGACACCTTCAGTACAACGTTCAAATGCTTTTCGTGCTGCAGGCTTAGATGCAAATTCTACAATGCCTTTTCCTGTGGATCTGCCACGATCGTCTACTATCACAATAGCTCTTTCAATTGGACCAAACTGAGAGAAGGCTTCTTCCAGCAATTCATTTGACACATATGGGGAGAGATTACGCACAGAAAGAGCAGCAGCATGGGTGGCAAAACGCACACGAAGCTGCCTTCCTCTCATAGGGATATCATCTAGTTCTGCCTTTGCAATTTCAGCCAAAGCTCGTGATTCCTGTGGATAGGTTAATAAGTCTTAATTTCAGAGCTATGTTCAATAATGTATAAGAATCTTAATATTAAAAATAAAAAAATCTGAAACATCAGTACTTACCAGTTTAATAAAGCCAAAGCCTTTCCCCTTGTTAATAAAGACTTCTCCTGGTTCACCATATTTGGAAAATAATCTCTTAAATTCATCTTCTGTGATATCAGCAGGCAAATTCCCAACAAATAGACGACAGCGCTGAGTATATGTTTTTTCCCCAGGGCGTCTCAAAAGTGACAAATTTGCTTTAAAACCCTAAAAAATTTAAAGACAAACACTAAATTTTTAACATGTATATATTTAACATACATATTTAGAAGGCGCACATCATTTTATCCATTTCTGTTTACACGTAGTATTATGCAAGCATAGATCTGACTATACACACACCTTACTCCATCCAACCTAACACAATACATCAGCCTGAAAATACCTATTTTCTTATGCTGATCTATATGCTATTGTCCCTTTTTTCATATTTACTTACATTTACTTTTCAATATTTGAAGAGAGAATTTTTCCTTCTATGAAAAGTGTTAGACTAAGCAATCTGACAATTTTCCATTTAGATGGACTTGATGAATCTACCATACACAATGCATAACCATTACTACCCTTACAGTATTTTAAAGAAAGGAAGAACTTTCTTAAGTACTGGTTGCCAGTGTTCTTTACACACCAGATAATATCTTTGTGTGAAGGAATAACTATTTTTATTGCATTATTTAAATTATAAGTTCCTCTTCTTTCACACAAATTGTAGAAAGTCACCAACATTTCAAAATGAATCTATAAAACAAATAAAATGCCTTGGAGAAAAAATGTTACCTTGACCAGTCATTAACAAAAATTAACAAAAAAACATTTAATGTCAGGACCAGTCATGCTTGGTTATTCCAAAGCTAAGGCATTATAAGTACTCCAAAGTATGCCTTCTCAGGCTCTTCATTAAATTTTATCTAATACCATCCACATTGGTAAAAACTCACAAATTCAAGAATTCCCAACATTCATAATAAAACTTTAGATTTGCACCATCACCTATTAAAGCATGCTGATTATAACTCCCAGGGAACTACTGCAAAGCATTATATTATGGACCACTACAACTACACTATAATATAAACCGTCTCGTACTGGTATCACCATTACCTCATTTTCCCCCAAGCCACTTAGCATGACACTAAATTATCCTTCATTAGGACTTTACTTCAACATCTCTATCAAGGATATCACCATTCTAACACAACTCATCATTATGCCATCCATTTACAATACTCTGGAGCACAGCACCTTTTTCTTGGCATTCAAAAACATGCAACTATACTTGAAACCATTCACACAGAAAAATGCTCCATGAAACAGCCACTCTATCATCTGCCATTCACTTGTGGCAGAAACTGAACTCAAACTAAAAAAGAATACTAAGAACTCGTATTTCCAGGCCATCACAATTGCCACTGCTAATACTCATATTAACCTACCGTAAGGGTAAAGTACATGTTTTTGGTTTTAATTGTGAGCTGCCCAGAGTCCCCCTTTGGGGGAGATGGGCAGCATACAAATTTAACAAATAAATAAATAGCCCACAATCGCCCTAAAGGAACAACTATCGGGTTTAATTTGGTTCACATAAACCACTAATACAAAGCATACCGTGACTTGCTTAGTTTAGGATTACAGTAGTGGCATCTGCAAACCATGCTTTATACGTACTGCTTTACATAAACCTAACTATTTATGGCTTAGTCACTAAATCAGGTATGGCATGGATGGGCAACCATTTGGTAAAGCCTAGACTTTTTCAGAATGCATGTATCAAAATACAATAAAAGTGAAAAGAGCAAGGATTGCTTTGTGTTATTAATTATACTGTATTTCTAATCCTGCACTACAATGCTTGCCTTAGATTGATGGGAAACTGGGCCACTGCTTTTCAGCAATTGAGGCTGGTAGAGACTCCAAAACGGGGTTTGGGAGACATGGGCAAATTTGGAAGCTCTGCTTGCGCCCCTCTACTGTGGCACAATAGTTAGATCTTTATGCCGCCTTTTTATATATAACTCAAAGTAAAGAACACATCTAATACTCCTGCCTCCTCCTTTCCCCACAATAACCACCCTCTGAGGTTGCTTGGGCTCAGAAAGAGTGACTAGCCCAAAGTCCCCCAGCCAGCTTTCACATCTAAGGGAGGCCTAGAGCTGAATCTCCTGCTTTCTAAACCAGCACCTTAACCACTACACTAAACTGGCTCTCTATACCATACGTTTTTTAAAATATTTTTTTAATCCTGCCTTTATTTTTATAAATAAGGCAGAGAACATACTTATTTTTCTCACAACCACCTTGTGAGATGAGTTGGTCTAAGAGAAAGGGACTGGCCCAAAGTCACCCAGCCGGCTTTCATGCCTACGGCAGGACTAGAACTCAGTCTCCTGGTTTCTAGCCTGGAGCCTTAACCACTAGACCAAACATATATATGTCTGTATATATACACACACACACATACATAAAAGAGCCAGTTTCGTGTAGTGATTACGGCACCAGACTGGGTGACCTTGGGCCAGTCACTCACTCTCAGCCCTAAGGAGGAGGCAATGGCAAACCACTTCTAGTCTCTCCAGTTTCCTTGGAAAGGTTTTTCTGGTATACCATTGCCTCCTTCCTAGGGCTGAGAGTGAGTGACTGGCCCAAGGTCACCCAGCTGGCTTCGTGCCTAAGGACTAGTCCTTGCAGTCGAAAACTGACTTGAAGGCGCGCGCGGGCGCGCACACACACGGTGAGCCTACTAAAAGAGCCGTGCGATCCAGGAAACCTCTGTTAATCACGCCAAGACCGCGAGGCAAAACTCCGGATGTGCACGCAGCAAACAGGCTCTGCTCCGTGAACGCCGCCGCCAGCACCACCGCTGCAGGTCCTACGAAACCACCCCTCCCCTTTAAAACTTGGAGCGCGCCGGCTGCCCGCCGCCACGCCCACTCCAGAGAGGCCGCGAGCCTCCGGCCCTCGCGCGCGCGCACTCCCGCGCCCAAGATGGCGGCGGAGAGCGCCGCCGGGGAGCGAGCCCGGCGCCATCTTGCCCGAAGGCGAAGGCAGGCCCGGGAGGGGCCGCCGCGGTTCTGCTCACCTCCGTGTCGGAGACTTTCTCCTCTCCCGCGCCCTGCTGCTGCTGCTGCTGCGACGGGTGCTGGTGCTGCTGCGACGGGTGCTGGTGCTGACTCTGCCCGCCGC